TTTGCAAATCAAAAGCAATATATATATTGCTATATATATATATTGCTATATATATATATATATATATATATATATACTGATAAAAAAAAACTACTTCCTCGGATAACTATAAATTAATTCATCTTCAGCCGGACTTGGGCAAGTTTGATTTGAAATGAAATTAAGAAATAACTTCTTCAAATAAAACATTAAATGAAATAATAACAATTTCCAATAATTACTTATTTCGTTATTTCTTGATTTCAAATATGAGAACAGAAATAATTCAGCTCTTTTGAAGAAACCTTTACACTTGCTTCGTGCAAAAATTCATCTTTCAAAACGTTCATCATAAAGCAACTTTCAGATCGGTTTTTATATCCTATAGAAATGCCAATGAACAGGTACTTAAAGCATAACCGAGTCTCAGAGCTGATAATTAATCAGATCACCGTACAATTTCCAAAAAGAATTTCGCAATTATCTCAAACAAATTACATCAAATCACTCTGATATAAGGTAACATTTATTTCGTTTTGTCACTCGAAGTAATAGCAATAATTGTAACAAAGTGCTGTAGTTATTGTCCAGTCTCCTAGTCCCTCTATCATCTAAAAAGAAAAAAAAACAAATTCAAACCGTCTAGTCCAGTTTTAAAAAAAGTCATTGCGTTTAAAAAAGGAGTCCGAATATTAATGGAAGTAACTGTAGATAAAGACGGACAGAGAGACCCCTCGAGTCCTGGAACGGTCTCGGCTCGAAGTAATCGTGAACCGCAATCTGTTCGCTCTTCAGGGCCCGAATTTAGAGCAGAAGCTTCCGTCGACGATGGAGAGTATAGTCAGCACGGAGCCGGCTTGCTCGCTGGATTGCGGGTCGGCTGGAAATTGCTACATCGAGCAGTCTCGAGGCGAGGAAGCCGAGCAGCTCGGCGATGACGACGGGGCCGAGAACACGGACGACGAGGACAGCTCGATGCCGATGGATCTCGAAGGGAACGACGTCGCACCGCGACGAAAGCAAGGGTCCTTCAGCCAGAGATGTCAATGCCCTCTTGGCAGAGGCGGCGATCGATGTCAGCTCGGTGAGTGATTTTCATTTAGCCACGTAGGTAGTACCATAAGCGCCGCGTCGCGTCGTTCCGCGGCCGCGTTGCGATGCGATGCGATGCTTCACGCTCCCGCCCTCCTTGTGCGTCTGACCGACCCCGGCCACGGAGTCGAGTACAAGGGCTAAGGTATCTCTTGTAGTTCGTTGGCATCGGCCAGCACCCCTACAAGGGTAGATAGCTGCTTGGAAGGGAGCCAAGGCTCGAGCGGGCCCGGGATTCATCGGCCGGGGCTCGAGAAAGTGATGAAACAAGATTTGAACGGGGGTAGCTTAATTACTGGATACAGTCGGAAGACACTTTCGAGGCTTGTTTCCAACGGATCATGTAGTTATTCCGGCGTCTCGTTGCTTTTGCTTGTTAGGGACCTCGCAAGGGTTCGCGATTCGATGCATCTTCTCTTTTAGACATATGTATGTACAAGATATAATTTCTTCAAAATCTAATTTTGAGTTACTTCTACGTCAGCTACACAATTCGAACTTCTTCGTTGCATACATCTTAATGAATGATTTAACATCGTTTAGATTAATTAACCACCGCTTGGAAGAGTTGAAGAATTGTCTTCCTCGTCGAATGTTTACGGAATTGTGAGAGACGACAGAAGAAAGACTAAACAAAAATTGCTTCTTCTTTCTCGTGTACGAAAAATAATTTGTTTAAGATCATGCTCTTCGAGTTACCTTCACCGTCGGCCAAGCAGTTTAAATTATATGATTGTGTAGAATTTAATAAACGAGCTAACACCGCGTTCGGTTAATTAATCACCATTTGAAAGAACTGGAGAATTTTCTTTCCTGTCAGATGTTTAGAGAATTGTGACAGACAACAAAGAAGAATCGAAAGAAAAATCGCTTCTTCTTTCACACAGGTGTGAAGAATAATTTCCTAAAGGTCATGCAAGTGCGTGATAACAGTGGAAAATAAACGATTGTGTGATAATAGGGGATGATTAATTATAAGATTCGACCAGGGAAGACAAAAATTGTATCTTCTTCCACAGGTAATAAAAATAATGTTCTAAAAATTACGCAGATGGGTGAAAAGATTGAAAAATCAAAAATTGCCGTGATAATAGGGGAAGATTAATTATGAGATTCCATAAGGGAAGACATCAATGATCGCGTTATTGTTTTTGAGAACTGGATGATGGAAGACCGAGTTTGTATAATGAATGAAGAGTATCGTAAGGATTCGGTAGGAAAAGCTTGATTAATTACTGCCAGAGGTAGAACGCGGATTTTATGCATTTACATTAAGAATAGTTAAATAAAAGACATTACTTATACTTATACAGCACAATTCAGAAAAGAAGCACATTTTTATTTAACTCTTCTATCATACCATCGATGAATAACATTTGTATTTGTCATAAAGATCCGCAGTGTACTGATATGCTTAAAGCATTGTTTTAGCTGTTTATAATTGCATAAAGCCTGGCGAAGCAAAGTTGAAAGGTAAAGATTGCATGAAACATCGAGTCTCTATAATGTCACAAAGTTATTAAACAATTTCCCGAGACATCATTTATATCTGTGGCCGCTCGTATCATGGTACAATGATCTGTTTGTTTACTCGAAACTCCTCTTGCTTCCGACAAAGGCAGAGAGCCTCAGGATTCTCTTGCTCGAAAACGACGGGCCAAGTGGTAAAGCAAAGTTTGGGAATTCTATTTTGTAGTATTAAACGAACCAAAACTCTGAGTAGAAGTTGAAAAGGAAGCTTTGGGATTTGATTACCATCTGCTCTGCAAACTCCGACTTTACGTTTTATTGAATATGCCAACGCATCGCCTAGCAAAGATTGCAAAGGATTCTGGCTTTATTTAGTTAAACAGCTCTGTGTTTCGTAAAATGCTCGACGAGTTCGAATAGTTCAAAATCTTATTAACACATTAAAGGCGGGAGTCGTAGTACTACGATTTATCTCGACTTCTCATAAATATGTACTTTAAAACATTTTTTGTAATTAGTGTTTAGTTCTTCTTTAATATTTCTTTTAGTTTTAAGAGTTTAAATAAACTCTTTTAAGTCTAAATTTTTTTATAATTACACAAAATATCGCCCGCTCTAGGACGAAAAACGAGGCGGGGCGGTCGCCGCGTTACCTAGCATACTTTCGTCAAGATCCCCCGCCTTTAATGTGTTAACAATTAAATGGCGCTAAATCTTTCAACAATTATTTACATAATTTTACTTTTACATTCTTACGAAAACATAACTAAGCAGGCTTAGCGTCGATTATAATTTTATTCATCGATTTTCTCAATAAATTCTTTAAAACTAATCAGTCAAAATGATTGATGTTTAATTTTTCTTCTACAGTTCTTAACATTACAAAAATATTTCTGTAGAAAATTTGTAGACGAACTTCTTTGATCAAGTATATATTATAATGAAAATAGTATAAATATTATGAATATTGTGAAATAAATCCAATCTTGTCAATGTTATAAAACAATCTAGTCGCGACTAGCGCTCTGTAATTCTAGTCTTAAGATACTCCCTCTAGACGCGTTAATTTTTATACAGACCTTAATAAGACGTGTGAGAATTTCAATTAACTGTCAGAGACTAGGTAGTCAAATAAAAATATTTATTCTCCGCCGTCCGAGTGATAATCGGCACGCGCATGCTATGCATTTGTATATGTTATGCATGGATGCATCGAGTGCGGTGAATTCGAAATAAAAACGAATTGAAATAAAATTGAAATGTGATTGCAACTGTAATGAACAGTCAACAAATTCTTCCTCGCAAATGATCGATAGATTACAGATTCATTGGATCACGATAATTTCAAATCTAAGATATCCGACACAACACAAAACTGAACAATAAAATCACTGCCTGAAAAATTATCTTTTCTCTAATTTATTTATTTAGTCGCTTCTATAGCGACTACAATCGTCAGGTAACGTAAGTCAAGTAATGTAGATGTAATATATACAATAGCTTTTACATTAAATTATCTGCATTAAACGCTGTGACTTCAGCATATAATCGTTTTAATCTAGATTTCTTAAGTTATTATATATAATTTCGGCAAACAATTCAGTGTCTTCTAAATACGACACAACTGTTGCTATATTGCCCAAACAATCTCTGATGGTATTGGGCAAATCGGAACAATTATTGTCCAACTACAATTTCCATAAATTTCACAGACAAAAATTTGGGATCAGCTGATCAGATCAACTTCGTCCGCTAAAAGGTGATCGAATGAAAAAAGTCCGAGTTCCGAGTTGTACATCGTTTTCCGCGACATCGCGTTCTGTAAATCGTGCATCGGGCGATCACCGATCGATCGTCGATCGGATCGACGACGTGCCATCAATCCGGAAAATCCTGGCTGGCCTGTCGGCTGTTTATTTCGCGCCGGGATCATCCGTTTTGCGGTCGATCCGCGAAACTGCGGGCCAAACGCGGAGATGCGTCCCCTGCGGGATGGGAGCACCGAGGTGGCCAACGGGGATGAAAGCCGAGCGAAGCTTAAAAGCATCGGTAATCGAAAAAAGAACGATCCTCTGACCTGAAACGCGCCGCGGAACACGGAGCAGAGCCGATCCTCGAGCGGGACACGCCGCGCCGCGTATCACGGCTAAATAAATAAAGAGAAATCGGAGGCGTATCTTCTCTCTCCCTCTCCATTCAATAACTATCTTTTTCTCTCTCGGTCTCTTTATACATATTTCGCGCGTTCTTTTTCAATATTTCCAGCCGACGAGGGCAGAGCGAATATTTCCCGCGAGTACGCGCTCGTCTTGACGCCGAACCACGGCGAACGGCATTTATTTATTGGGTCACGTCGCGCGGAACCGATTGAAGCCGCGCCGCGAGATACAATCTCCGCGATGACGGTCGATGAACTGACGAACCGGGAAGCACCGGTGCACCGCGGATTATATATGTATTCCTGTTTACCTCACGCTTCTCGTCTCCATTCCGGTGTCGAACGCGAAACGCCGACGCACAATGGAGAATGAAACATCTACCGTAAGGAGGAAAAATGTCCACACACCCGTCAAAACGGTATAACTTTTTTTGAAACCGGTTTCTGAATGAAACTTTTTTAAAATTAACTTTTCTAACTTTTTTGCAAATGTTAGAGGCGCACGAGTTCATTGTACAATGACTAAAATACATTTTTAGGGTAATTATTCGGAACAATTGTTCTCTTAAGATCGTCATCCTGAACAACTTTTTCCATTATACAGGGTGTCCAATAATTACGTTAACACCCGGAAAGGGATGATACCTCAAGTCTTTCGAAGTAACTGTTTCCTTTGCGAAGATGCAATCCGCTGCTTTGTTTACAACTTACTAACGAAAAACAGTTATTAATAATTATATGAGATGACATGAATTTTGCTGAAACGCTATAGACGGATCGATTCACTAAACAATCACCGAACAAAATTTCGCAGATATTGTACGCGACAAAAACAATCGGTGTCATACAGCTTAAGTTTCAATTTCAATTCTATGAAATATACATGTTACCGTGAATGACCGAAATTGGAGAATGTCGACTTTCACCGGTGAATGTCAACAGATACCAATTACGTCGGTGAAAGATCGAATATTTCATTACATTGTTGTACATTCGGACCCTCTCCGGTGTGTGTCGACAATCACAGATATGCTCTGGTGGAGGTCCAAAACCTGTCATTGCAAAAGGAAGTGTTCCACAAATAAATGCAGTTGTAAAAGCAAGGGACTCTTGTGCAATTCAAAGTGTCATAATAGTTTAAGTTGTTGCAATAAATAAGATTTGAATCACATGAGTAAGTAATTTTTTTATTACTATTATTTTCTTTTCTCATGTTGAATGTACCGTGTATTTTAAATTCTTGGTCATTCCTTTCAGAAAGAGAGGCGAAAAAGTTACGTCACCCTTGTGGCGTTTTATAGCGACTGAATTACGGAGAAGAAAATATAAATCTCCAACATGTTCAACATTCACCATTAGTGCAT